TGTTGTCCTTACTTGCCTTTTGGGGACCTCATGATCTACACAGTCAGTTACAGTCCAGACAGGCCAACTAGGAAGACATGGTGGGACACTATCTCAAAAACAAGAGGAAAGAGCTCCGTGGCTAAAAGCGCTGGTCGCTCTGCCAGAGGACTGATTTGATTCCCAGTACCCACAGGGCAGCTCACAATCGGCTATAACTCCAGTTCCAGGGGACCTGATGCCTTCTTCTGGTCTTTGTTTTGCATGCACATGATGCACAGACATACATGGAGGCAAAACACAAGAAAAACAAACAAAACACAATTCACAAATAATAAAAACTACTACTACTCCAGCCAGTAACAACAAACATAACACATATCACTTTGCCAGGGCCCCCAAGTGTTCCTGGTACCAATGGTGGGTGGCTCACAATCAAACTTAAGTCCCAGGGCATCAAAAACCTCTGACCTCCACAGGAAGCCACTCACAAGTATATATACTCACACGCAGACACACACCTGCACACATAATTAAAACTAAAATAAATCTTGGGGCTGGAGAAGTGGCTCAATGGTTAGGAGCAAAGGATGCTTTTAGAGTGGATTTGGGTTCAATTCCCTTTAAATACATGGTGGTTCACAACCATCTATAAGTTCATCTATAAGTTCAGTTCCCCTCTTCTGACTTCTGTGGGCACAGGCAAATCATTCACACACACATAAAATAAACCTAAAAAACAAATTAAAAAGAGAAGAAAAAACTTTGAGTTTGTTATGATTATTATTATTGTTATTATTGCACAAAACTTTGGGACAAAACACATTCTAGAGCTGATTTTCAAATCTTTCTACATACACTTAAATCTCCTACCTAGAGAAGTGCCTTTTCAAACACTGTGCCAAAGAAGGGAGAACGTTGAGGTAAACCAAGTGTGATCATCTTCACATTGAAAAGACTACAGTCGTGCAGAGTGACACTGGCCTGTATTCCCAACACTTGGGGGTGGAGGCAGGAGGATCAACAGCTAGAAGTTAGCAGGACTGACTTCTTAGTAAGCTCCTGTCTAAAAATAAAACTAAAACATTTAAAAAGCTCTTAAGTTTGGGAAGATTTGACAGTATCAGGGAAGGCAGTGAAAAAAAATGCCCCAGTGAAGTGTGGAGCCTCAGACTTAAGCTGGGTGGTAAAGGATCAGGCCTATGTTAAAACAAACAAAGCATAAACAAAGAGTCCCATTATCTCAAGGCCTGGCAAAGGCTGAACGCTGAAGTGCACAGCTCTTTTGTTTAACAAACTGCCTTAATGGATCTTGGGATAGTGGCTTTGCAGGGGCAGGGTCGTCGCCTTGCATAGTTCCACGAGGTATGGGGTCCCTGTGCCTGGCACCCCCGTGAGCAGCATTCATGCTGTATTCTTTGTGAGCAGCGCCCCTGGGATTGTGCAACCTGGCTATTAAGTCAGCAAAGATGGCCTGGAGTCTGGCCTGAGATAAAGATTAAGAACTAAATCCTTCTACATAATAAAATAACAGGAATTTTAAGTCTTCCTGGGGGGGGGGTGAGGCAGGAGGGTGGAGGGGTGTTTGGAATGGAAAGGAAAAAAATTGCTTGGATTGAAAGTGCTTTTAGGATGAGGGTGGGCCAGCATTGGTACCAAAGTGGAATTTGTGACCTCTGTAAGAAAGTCCTGTCATTTAAATTGCACATTTGGCAGGGTGGCAGGGGGTAAAACCCAGGCAGGGGGTAAGTATAGTGTCACTGAGCTATACCCCAACTCCTTGATTTTTAGTCAGGGGCTCACTGTATAGTTCGACTGGCTTCAGACTTGTAGCTGCCTCCACTTGCTACACACTGGGATTACAAGCACATGGGTGAATCTCTGTGCCCTGCTTTCTGTGCAGTTTAAAAAACACACAGAAGATCCCCTGGGTGGTGGTGGCGGCGCACCCCTTTAATCCTAGCATTTTGGAGGCAGAGGCAGGTGGATTTCTGTGTGTTCGAGGCCAGCCTGGACTATACAGATCACGTTCCAGGACAGCCAGGTCTACACATAGAAAACCTGTCTCGAAAAAAACCAAACAAAAATCATACAATCCCCCCAAATACAAAACAACAAAAAAGATCCTCTGTTACCTTCTTTATCCTTTAGAAGAGGAGACACTGGCAAATGAATTTAAACAACTTTTTTTGGAGGGTGGGGCACTCTTCTATATGAATCTGGGAAGAACCAGCAAAAAAGCTCAATGCCCAGGCTCACAAACATGATGTGTGTCTAAATGCACAAGACCATAACTTGTTACAGTTTTTTTTTTGCTGTTTTTTTTTTTTTTCAAAAAGCTGAAGGCACTTTTATTTCCTCATTTATTTTGACATTCTAGTATGGGAAGGGCAGATTTACGATAACATTATTTATAGACGGAGAAATTGAAAATAGAGACGAAATTGCTTACTCAATGCTGCATAGCTGGGGTGGCAGAGCCACTGGAATTTGGTTCTCCAGGCCCCAGCCACAAACTGGAAAGAGCATGAGATTTGGAATTAGAAGGATCTTTGAGAAGTCCGGTTTCGAGCCCGGAACAAGAATGTGGCCTTAAGTCAATTACTTCACCTCGGTCTCAGCTACTCTCATTTGTAAAAGTAAGACCATAAAACCTCACCGCATGGCGATGATTAATTTAGAAAATGCAGGAAAAGCCTCAACACCAAGCCCTCCTCAAGTAAATTCCACCCTCCCACCCAGCCCAACCCAGAATTATCTGGTTCAATTTCAGTACAAATCAAAAGGAACCCCCCAGTAAAACTCATTTTCCCCATCCCCATCTCCTGTGGAGAGAAAAATGATGAATACAAATGTTCCAAAATGTCATTTAATTAACTTGAAGACTTTTTTCTTTTTTTCTTTTTTCTTTTGCTGACTAGGAATGTAGCTCAGTGGCATTTGCTTCCAATGGGCTGAGACAGACTTCAATCCTCAACACTACAAAACAAAAACTAACACTTCTCCCCTCCCAACAAAACAACGATAACAACAATCCCATGCATTAGATTTACCGCAATTAAAAAAAGAATATGTGAAAGATAGGCTTCTAGAATGCTGCAAGTCTTTAACTAGAGAGTTTCCCGGAATGCCCTGGTTAGGGAGGGGGAACTCAAAACAAGGTCTTATCCTAGAGTTACAGCCTTACAAGGTCTGGGGCGGGGCTTGGCCATTTACATCTTTAACAAGTTCCCAGGTGATGAGGAGCTGCTAGACCGGGGCCACACCTTGAGAAGCACTGTCCTAGGTGAGTGAGAGGTTGGGGATAGGACCAGCAATCCGCTCAACAAGCACTCCGGGAGCTATCAAGTTTAAGACCTGCTGGCAAGGCGGTGAAAAGCTCATGAGAACACAGACCCACTTTTGAATCCAGGTTACACCACTTGCCAGTTAGATGAGTGTCTGTGAGGAGTCCTCTCTCTAGGTCCTAGGCTCTGTGTGTGTTTCCCTGATTGGGGGGTGGGGATGGTAATGGCTGGAGACAACCTCAGTTTTGTCCGTGTGGGCTCTTAGTTTTTGCTTCACTCTACTAGGAGACATGGAAGGCTGCTTGCTTGAACTTGGGAATTATTGAATTATTTACAAACATTGCTGCAATTACATAAAACACAAGGCAGTTCTTTTAAATACAGCCTGAGTGATGGGATTGTTTGTATCTTAAATTTGTAATAAGGGGTTTTCTTTTACTGTGTCTTTCTGTTTTAAGACTCTTCCCTGAAGTATTTGTTTAACAGACACTATGAATTCTGAGGGTTTTTCTTCTCTCTGTCTCTCTGTCTCTCTCCTCTCTCCAAGAGTCTTACTATATAGTTAGTCCTGACTGGCTTTGTCTGGAACTCACTATAAAGTCTAGGCTGTCCAGAAACTCTCTGGTCTCTTCCTGCTTCAGTCTTTAGACTGCTGGAAATACAGACACAAGGTACCTCACCAGGCGAGAGCCCTTTTTTTCCTCTCTGTGGGATCTAGCGTCAGACAGAAAACCTGCCTCCACTTTTTGATGCGTTTCTGATTTTTGTGGCAGAGGAAGCCTTTTAAGATCGTCTCTCCTTTTTTTGTCTGACATCTGACTCTTAAGTTCTCATACCGTGTTTGGTCAGAGCTTCAAAATCCCAGGTGTTCTCTAGTGCCTGCTACTGGTTAGGTATAAGAATTGTGGACTTAGTCCTAGGTACTCGGAAATGTTTACCATGTATTATATTATTTTTAACTGCTACAATCCACAGATGAACAACACACACACACACACACACACACACACACACACACACACACACACAAAGTTTTAAAAGGTTATCTAACTTGTCAAGGTGAAAAGTAAAATAACAGGGATCCGGGCGCTGAAATCCCAGAGCCCTTCATCTCGGCCTTCATTTAAGGTGCAAAGGATGACGATATAGGGGAATAGACTTTGGTTCCTGTCTTTGAATAATTTGAAAAGTCTTGTTTGGGGCAGATGAGAGTTCTACACACACCACAAATTAAAGCAAAACCAAGAGCCAGCATGTGTGGTAAGGTTTGGTACCTGGCCGGTTTCCTTCTCTGTAAGATGTAGAGAATAGCACCGATTTCCAGGAGTTTGAAGGTTATTAAAATAGTTAACGTAGCCGAAGCGGGTATCACACTATCCACCGCGCAGTAAGCCTTCGTCAACTGCATTTCTACGCGAGTGGGGATAACTCGGCGGGATAGCCGGGTGAACGTACTGGGCTCGGCTACACTGGATTCTCCGAGCCGCCATAGAATTAGGTGGCTGGAGGGGACCAATCCTAACCACAGCTAAAATAAGGGGTGCCAGCCGTCACCTGGGGGCCGCGGGGCCCCAAGGATTAGCGACGAGCCAGCCCGGGGATGGGTTCGCGGGCAGCAGGCTCAGAGGCCCCGCCCCTCCCGGGAGGCCTGGCAGCTCCTGGCCGGGAGCAGTTCCGGTGCCAAAACCCTGCCCTCCCCCGCTCCCCCGGAAGTGCTTGTCTCGGGTTCGGGCAGGAGAGAGGCCTTGTAGCCACAGCCGCCGGGGCTCCGTCGGCTCCGAGGAAGGGGGTCGGGTCGCTGAGAGAGTGCGGAGCTCCGCGTCCGCCGCCGCCCCGCTCCCTCGCAGCGCCCTCGCGCCGACGGTGAGTAGCCGGGGCGGCTGAGCGGGCCCGCGCCGGGCGGGCGGGCGCCCTCGGACCCGGCTGTCCGCTGCAGGTTCAGCTGTCGGGGTCCGGGAAGGGGGTCGTCGGCCGCCGGGGAGCGCGCGCGGCCCGCGGGGCCGGGAAGACGCGCGCTGCGGGGCCGCGGAGTGGGCGGGGCGCGCCAGAGCGGGTTCCCGGAGCTGCGGCCGCCGAGGGGACTGGCGAGCGGGGCCGGGCCGCCCGCGCCGCGACCCCCCATCTCTGTCTCTCCGGGCTCGGACAAGTGGGCTCGGCGCCTCCGCCGTGGGGGTCCGTGCACCCGGGCGTCGGGAACCTGCACAGCCGGACCACGCTGGACATCGTTGCCCTACCCGACTTTGGTCGCCCCTTGGGTCTGTCCCCTCTTCCCAGCTCGGCTGTTATCCTGTGTCCCAGGGGTGTAGTCTCAGTCCCAGGGTGGGGCGCTCCCTGTGTGGATGCTGGCGATTTCGTGCGGGGACTTCTCATCCAGCCAGACTTGCGTCAGGGGTCGCCTGGGTTCCATTTGGACTCGGCTTGAAATTGACTGGGTCTGGGTCTCTGCGTAGGGTCACTGAGGCAGTAGCGTTCCTTGAAGGGTCTTGACTCACTTGAAAGCCGAAGCTGTTGGAGTCGCTTCTTAAAGGAAAAAAGATTGGAGGAGAATCGTTGATTCAGATGAGTTTTCCCGTGTTCTTGCTGACGTTAAAAAACAAAATGATGCTATTCTCTAATCAGCCATCCCGAATTCCTGTGCTCAACCGAAGTCACAGTTGTAAGAGTTCAGTCGGGACATTGCACAAGTTGACTGCAAAGGGCTGGAGAGTGGTACACTTTTCTACTCCAGATTTGTTTACTTTCATACCTGGAACTGTCATTTCTGGAGCTTAAAAATATGTCCTCAGTTTCTCCTCAGAGGTTCTTTGTACAGTCCAGCGGCTGTTGCAATGCCCGGGAGGTTCCCACAGCTGGGCAGAGGTGTGTTTGTTGATTTAAACGTTTGAAGTGTTTAGCTCGAATAAACTGAGAATTTCCTAGACAAGAAAATCTTGTAGGTACTATTAGTAAACGGAGTCTAGATGATAAACTACTGGTGAAAGGTTTGCAGGGAATTACGGAGATATTTTCCACTTCCATTGAGTTTTAAATTATCAGAAAGTTCATTTGTTGCAAATGACATGTGCTACCGCAGTGTCAAGTATAAGTAAGTCATTTTCATCAAACCAGTGACGTTATCTGCTCTTCTCATATTATGCTTATATTAGGATCTATACTGGTTTGTGTGTGTGTGTGTGTGTGTACGTGTACACGCGCGTGCACGCGCAGCTTGTTTGTGTCTGTCTCCTTTTTTGTATTTATGTCATTTTCTACCACCAGAAGGGAAGGTAATCTCATGAATAAGTTTGAAGTGACAAGTTCCATGAACTGTTTTATGCGAAGGAGAAAATATTTTATTAGAAAGATTTCTCTGTATGCTAGAGGTTCACGTTGGGTGTCTTAGGTTTCTCTTCACTGTATTATTATTAATTTATTTTTTTTGAGACAGGGTGTCTTTGAGCCTGGACCTTGGAGTTTTGGCTGGGCTGTCTGGCCAGCATGTCCCAGGGATTCTCCTGTGTTTGCTCCGTGCCCCCCAATTTTGGTCCAAGTGTTACAGACACATGCTGCAGACCTGGTTTTTAATGTGGGTGCTGTGGATTCCAATTCAGGTCCTCATGCTTGCTCAGCAAGCACTTGTGAGTCATCTCCTCAGCCCCCCAGGTTATTGATACTGAACAGGTAAAGAGGGATATTTTTTAAATTTGTGGGAAAAATATGAGTAAAGCTAAGTTGTACAGTTTTTAGATTTGAATAGAAGCTGTGGCCTCTTGTATACCTTTGTTGAAATACTCAGATGTTCAGAGCCTAAGATTGGGAGTGTGCAAAATTAGTTAAGTTAGATTTGGTTACGGATTTGTACTCTGGATATAATGCATTTTGAAGGGAAAATTATGGGAGTTATAAAAAGCAAGAAAGGAAGTTGGTAAAAATCAGATACTTTCAGGCATTGTAAATGTTAACTATTGCTCAAGTCAATTCAAATGATATTAAGCATTTTCTGTGTGTCAGGCTCTTTTAGGGAACCGTGTAGAAGCAAATAAAGGCAAAGCCATTCTAACTTATCATGTTTTGACAGTTTTCCAAGGTGTGTTGAAATCATGAAGAATTGAATTGTACTGTCTAGGAATACCAAACCTCCTTTGAATTGGGACTTAAATAGGAGGGAGGTGTTGAGTGCTTCTTGAAAAATATTGTGCCAGACATTTGAAGTTGCAAAGATTAAGGCTGGTCTTTAGAAATTTGAATCTAGTATGGGATGTATGATGTTTGTACTAAAGTTTATAGTATAAGTAAATATCTGGCTGGATGTGGTGGCCATGCATTCTGAGGCAAAGGATGCCAGATGACAATAAGCTGCTAGCCAGAGTGACCCCTGTTCACAACAAAGGAAGATCCTCTGAAAACAAAAAAGAGATGTATGTAAGCATTTAACCACATGGGTGTGCTTATCTAAAGTTTGGGGTTGTACAGAAGGAAAATGTTTAGCTTAGTCGTCATGGAAAACTGTAGAGATATGGCAACATTCAAGGGTGGATCAATGCTGTTATTCATTGGGCACTTAGTTCTATTGTTATGTTATCTCAACAACGTAGAAGCTTCTTTCTGTTGAGACCCTCAGGGTTTCTCATCTCGGAAGAGTCCTTATACTGAATCTCCGATATGTTCAGTAACTTCCCCTGGAGTTATGTGACTAGTGTAAGTCTCCATTTGAAGGCAGATCCCAATAAACTTGTGCTCTTTTTATTTATTTGGTTTAATTTTTGAGACAGGGTCTCCTGTGTCTTACTTAGGCCTGAGGCTCACTTTGCAGCCAGTTATGACTTCGAACTTCTGATCTGAAGTCTCCACCTCCTCTGTGTCTGGGATTGCAGGCATTTTCCATTGTACCCTGCTCTTAAACTAGCAATCTTAAATTAGCTGGTGACTGATAGTTAAACTCTTCTAAAACAGAGATTCAGGAGTTAGGATTTGGTGGATAAAGAAGGCCTTCCAAATTAAGAGAACAATTTTGGAGATGAGAAGGCTCTTGATGTAGAGAAAAGTTAGTGTACCAGACGACCTGGGTGGTTTATTTTGTAATGAGAGATGAAGTTTGAATATAAGTTGAGGGTGGATTGTGGAGCATGTTTACATGCTGTATTTAGAAGTTCAGCATTTGGAAAAAACAAGAAGTGTGTACCTTGTGATAGTTTGTGTGCAGAATGACCATTATGGCAAACTATTAATGCATTGCTGTGCATACTGAGAGAGACGGCAGTGGGATGAGAACGAAGGCTCTACAGGGTCTGCACTGATCAGTAGGCAATTGGGGGCCTGATAGGAGAGATTTAGAGGAGACAGAAACTGAAGTTACACTTTCTAGCTGGATGATATTGCTGATGGTACTGTTACTATGGGTGTGAGCAAAGAGTTGTATAATTAGGTTCTGTTGTTTTAAGATGGAGTAAAGTCTCACATTCAAAGCCCTTAATCTCCAGAGAAGATTACTTGTGTGATCCCAGGCCTGGCATGCCGGGATTTGAACATATCTGCTGGAACTGTCATAGTCCTGCCTCAGTCTCCAGAGAAGCTGTAGGCCCAGCATGCTGGGTTTGAACACACTTACCTGTAGGGACTGCTTAGAGGTCTTTGGAAATGGAGGTCTGCAGTTCAAGAGAGAGGTCAGAGCTAGACATATACTAAATATGAATAGAGGGAAAACACAAATAGTTCAGATTTATTAGTTGAATCTCTGTAAGGAGATGAAAGTGCCAAGGGAGTGTGTAGAGGGGAAATAAACCAAAGCCGCAGCGGCCATCCCAACCCCATGTTTAAATGGCATCTGTTTAAAACAAAGAAAAAACACTAAGTAGACTACTTTATGTAATGGCAAGGAGTTTGATAATCTGTAGTTTCCTTGAACTATAAATTCAGATGGAGTAGAAAAAAATCTGTCCATTAAAATTCCAGTTGAGTGTTGACATGACTCAGCAGGTAAAGGGGCTTGCCTGCAAATCTGATGACACGAGTTCTATTCCTGGCACCTGCATGGTAAAAGAAAAAGAACCAGCCTTGCAAGTTCTTTGATCTCCTTGTGCCGGCCATGGTGCCCTCCTCCCCTCATTGCAGACACACACACACACATACACACACACACACACACACACACAATCTAATTTTAAAAAAATCCAAAATTCCAGGGGGCTGTGATGTTGCACACCTTTAATGTCAGCATTCAGGAGGCAGAGACAGGCAGATCTTTGTGAATTCCAGACCAGCCAGGGCTACATAGTGAATTCCTGTCTCAACAACAGTAACAGAAACCCAAGAACAAAGGAAAAAAATCCTCTTGAGGCAGGCTGGAGATATAGTTTAGTTGGTAATTTTTACTTAGCATGCCTGAGGCTCTGGACTGTGGGTTAGACCAGGTCTATATCTATCTTTAACTCTAGCACTCAAGAAGTCCTGCCAGGAGGGTCAGAAGTTCAAGGTCATCCTCAGATACACTGGAGTTGAAGTCAGCCCACATTACCTGAGATCTAGTCCCCACCCTCCAAACAAACAAACAAACAACAACAAAATCACGAAATAAAATGTCTTAGCTTTGTTATGATTGTTCTGTGGTCAAGGCTTATTGGAGTGTCAGGCTGATTGCCTTAGAGCCTGATTTGGTTGCTTTCTTTGGGCTTGTCCAGTGAGTGATAGTAAGGATTTGGAGGTAATTGATATAGTAGTTTCTTTTTTATGTGTAGGAATTTTCTTTTTATTTCGATGTTAAGAACCTCTGATATTCAAAGGCATTACTTGTGCTTCTCATTACAGTGATTAACATTGTACTTTTTGTTTTGTTTTGTTTTGTTTTGTTTTTCGAGACAGGGTTTCTCTGTGGCTTTGGAGGCTGT